GCAACAACATTTCATACGGATACCAACAGAAATGTAACATAAAGTGACTTCATTGCTGCAGTGGTGCACTCTGTTCATCATCCTTCGAATAGATCTTGCAACATCTCTTCCAGCTCCTGGGGAGTTACTCTTGGGGTGGTAATATTGTTATCATTTATGTATTTTGTATAGCCTGATTTGATGATGATCTCGGTGATAGCTTTGCGCAGACTTATCCTCAGCACAGTATTTGGGACCTTCCACAGCTTTTGGGTCGTTTACGTCTTCCTCAACTCAGATTCGAACTTAGTCTGTGGGTTGTAATTTTTCCAGAAGGGAACAGGTTTAGTATTGAACAATATTTTCAACAGTGGTGTCCAAGATACTTGTAAATAGGTCTCCTTATATTCATTAACTTTGTCAAATTTTTATCTTTTCCTTAAGTTCTGAACCAAACAAGAAAGCACCTGAATAATTGTGATGCTATGTAGTAGCCCATGTTTCAATTTTCTATTTTTCAGTTGAATCTATATGCAAGTTAAATTGATGTTTGTTGGGAACATGACCGAAAAAACTGATGCCTTCTTATTACTGACCAATTGAGGCACGGACAGAGGTGGCCCAGATGACAATGACTGCGAGGAGGCTAAGTTCAGCCTTCTACTTTGCTTCAACGAGGTTTGAGGTTTATGACAGTCATTACCAAAGCTTTCAGTTTTCCATGACTATCTAGCCATATGCGATAGCTTAGATATCTGTTTCCCTTTAGTTGATAAAAATGTTGCCAGTAGATTGCTTCAATACATTATGCATTGCAGTTACAGGGAGAAGTTCCAAATTGGAAAAGCAATCAAGGTTATCAGTTCATGTTTGAACACTTTATTATGTCTATAGTGCTTACATTAGTGAATTTCCCTGCTAATGAGATTCTGCGCTGATTCTATCTATATTCAAAATGATTGATCAGAAGGATGTTGTTGCATGGTCTGCAATGTTGACTTGCTATGCCCAAGCTGGTGATTGTGATGGTGCCCAAATGTATTCATCAAGATCACCATGCATGGCTTGACCAATGAGTTCATGGTTGCGGCCCAACGCCAGTGTCTCGACCAGTCAAGTGGTGACGCAGGGACATCGCTGGTCAGGCCGCCGCCATGCCGAAGTGAGGCAATACCTCGAGCCTACTCGACAAGGTAATCCATCTTACCTGGATGACCGGATTGGAAGGAGTGTTCAGTGGTGAAGTAGAGAGTTTGGGTTACAAACTATATCAAATCACTCCACTGCTTATTGGGGACAAAAAATATATGTATGTGATGCCAGTCTTAACAAGTGTGCTTTTATGCTCTCCTGCGTTTTCGAGAAAAAAAAAACAAGTGTGCTTTTATGTGATGATTAATATGTTAGTGTTTCTATATAGTATGACAAACACTGCCAATATATAGTTCACTGAAATGAAACAGAAAGAAATGAATTATACTCTGTTTCTCACCACATTATCAAATTTAAAAACCATGTGTAAATACTTGTGTTCTTGCCTGCTATTGTTTTGTTAATGGGCACCTGCTGGATAGAGCTGATGTGTGAACAAGTCTATCGCTGCGCTTGACCACCCGTCTCCTTATGAAAAAAATAAGTGTTGATAAAAATGTATTAGATATTATAATATTTTCTGGATGATTCAACATTTTTTCTATGTCAGGTGGAGCTCATAGTTTCAGTTAGAACTTACCTGTCCTTGAGTAATTGTTTCCTTGTCCATATAGTCCATTGAGTGAGTGAAGTCTTGAGTGGATCAGAAAAAAGTATGAACAGCTACGTTCACAGAATGCTTCCCTCAAGGTATCATTCGTTTGCTATCTTTATATTGTCATTTCATATTATCAGTCATGGTAGCTCAGATTTTCAGTTATACTAGATCACCTCCTCAATTATGCAGAATATCGTTGGTACATGTTCCGATGCTTTGAATTATTGTGCATATTGTTAGGGTGATTGTGACTTTTTTTAGATGTTTTTTTCTGCCTCATTTCAGTGTTGGTATGATGTTTGCAGCACAAGCTGGGGGGCCACCAGTGATTCGATTCCTAATATGAATGAACAGAACGACGGCGACGGCAAAGAAAAGAAGCAACCTGATTCCGAGGCCCAGCCTGGACATTGCTATTTATTTTCTTCAACATTGTCGAACAGAGATTCTTCACAAAAAAAAATTTGTCGAACAGAACATAGGAAAGAGAAAATTGTTTATGCAATTCTACCTCCTCAACTGGATAATATCTCTGATGGCATGTATATATATGCCCTCACTATGTTAAGTTGTTAACGGTAGAATTTGGCAGAATAGTCATTTTTGGTCATTAAACTATTACTCGAGGCTCAATTTTATTACTAAACTTTCAAAACGGTCATTTAGGTCATCAAACTTTAGTTTTAGGATCAATTTCATCCTACAACTATGGAGATGATCGTTTTAGTCCTTAAACTTTGCATTTTGGGATCAATTTCATCCATAAACTATCAAAGTGCATTTAACTTTTATTTTCAACTCAATTTTGTCTATTCAAAAAGAGAACCTTATATTTTAGGCACAATTTCATCTATAAATTATCAAAATTATAGATCTGCTATTGTTTCAATATATCCATGTATTTTTAATGAATAAATAGTGTTCGATGCAACTGTAATTGCTCCCGTAATATCATGTAGTCGGATATATATATGGTACCAATATAAGGTAACACTAAAAATAACAGCTTGGAATTATTAATGGCCACAAAAGAGTTTTTGGATGAATATTATTTTTCTATCTCCAATCGCTGGTGGTGTTGGAGCTAACTAGGTGCAACAGTACAGCGTTCCACGTAGAACGTAGACAACGTTGTGTTGAAAATAAAAGTTTAAAGAACAAAATACACTTTGATAGTTTATAAATGAAATTGAGCCCAAAATGTAAAGTTCGAGGACTAAAACGATCATCTTCATAGTTTTAGGATGAAATTGAACCTAAAAGTACAGTTTGAGGACTAAAACGGCCGTTTTAAAAGTTCAAGGACGAAATTGAGCCTCGATAAATAGTTGATGGACCAAAATGACTATTCTGCCGTAGAATTTTAACGAGTCAGTTCTGTGGATATCCTTTCAGATTAGCTGACAGATGAAATTAAATTGTGCAGGATAACATGACTCAGTTGGTCATTCACCATTAGTATAGCATTATTAAGTTAAACTCTAGATTATCTTGATCTTGAAATTTTTTGAAAGGTTTATGCCTAGAGCAAAAAATATAATGGATTTTACTACACGCATGATGTTTATGAATTTTTTCATAGACACGTGCGTGCCGTCTCGTACGTGCATGGCCACTAGTATTTTAAAAAGGTTAAAACAGTATATAAAGATATGGGATCGTCCATCCGAAATAACAGACAAGTAGCAACCTACCAGATGAGGAGTTAATGTGCGCGACGACTCGAACAAATGCCCATTTGCATAGGTACAAAGAGATTTCTCTGCGCTTCTGAAGGAAACACAGGTGATGTCACCATGGAAGAAGACCACGGTAAAGACATCGAAAATCCTCCTGGTTGTACTTCAATATTATAATCGGCGCTTCCTTAAAACCGAAAGAGGTAGCGTCACTGATTTGTTCACGTTAGTGCTCTTGTATATTTTAGGCTGTGCATGTCCTTCATGGATATAGAGACTGGATTGTCACATCAACAATTTGCTTAGGGCCATAAATACACCATTGAGACTGCCCTAAGTGCTCTTATATATTTTTGGTTGTGTATATCCTTCGTGGATATAGAGACTGGATTAATGAAATCTATTCTCATTCCGGTTTTAAAAGAAAATGTGCATTGAGCCGATGGTACATGCCATCACTGACCGATGGGCCGGGCCTCTTCCGACTTGAGCCCACAGCCAGCGTGACCGCTTCGGCATTGATTGGGTCGCAGTCGCACAGCGACGTGCGTTCGTCCTACCCTGCGTCGCACGCTCTTTCTTCGCCTCCGTGATGCGTGTGTGTATTCCGTGCTCAGCGTGCCGTGGTGTTGGAGAGCATGAGTGCATGACAACAGCCAGCAGCACTCCGGTAGGTATTACAATTACGCATTCCCCAATCTCTAATTTTCCATTCCCGGCACGTTCCTCTGGTCTAATTTTTCATCCTCTGGTCTGTGCCTTCATTGATTCCGACTGCGTCCAAATTGTATATCAAGTTTACAATAGCACTTTTCACAAAAAAAGAAAAAAAAAAGAATTTACAACAACCCACACACAGGTTATAGGGCCACTCTGGCCCAGTCACCTTCACATTGGACCATCGGCCCGTTTACTTCTTATAGAGTCTGGTTCGTTCACCCATTCTTGGTTTTCCTCTTCTGTTGTCGTAATCGGTACAGGAGCGCTCACACATTGCGAGACCCTGTACATGTATACGAGGATGTCGGCTAACTTGGCACTCAAATTTAGCATGTTTCTTAAGATATAACCAACAACTATTCCCCTTTATGTCAGTGCAAAATTCACATACATCTCCTCTCCAGATGCGGATAATAGAGCAGAACAGAGTAAGGTTGAGGGGGGAACAAACAACTCATTTGCAAAATCAGAACAACCAAAGTTACTACTGCTGCTTATATACCGCAACGCTTTTAATACTGCATGGATAATTTCATTCACTGCTGCTATTACAAGGCAGGGGGTACAGAATGCAGATCAGCTTTCTGCCGTTCTAGTCTTCTCTCTCTCTCTCTCTCTCTGTTGCAAAACTGCTGTTCCAGATACTTCATAGAAAATGTTCAACAATTACACAACAAAGAGAACTACTAACAAACTTGTGGTGCTTTAGCTATTTTCCCCCTATCCTTCGCACCGTGCTTCAGAGATCCAGTCCATGGAAACAACTACATTTTATTCCAAAACCCAAGCAAAACAGCGAACATAATGCAAATGGAAGCAGGATTAACAATACTATACTTGGGGCAACTTGCCTTGTATGGTGCACTAGTTCATCATCCTTGGAATAACTCTCCCAGCATCTTCTCTAGTTTTCTGGGAGTAAATCCTGGGGGTGTGGCAGTGTGGTTATCCTCCAAGAATTGTGTGAACGCTGGGATGACTTTATCGGCGACGGCTTTCCGCAGCCTTCTCCGCATCTCAGGGTCTGGGACCTTCCAGAGCTTTTGAGTGGCAAAGGTCTTCTGAAATTTTGACTCAAACTTTGGTAGAGGAGACGGGTATCTAGTCAAGCAGCATGGCAAAAAAGGATCCTGCAAGCATTTTAACACCGGTGCCCAAGACTCATGGAGATAACTATCAATGTAGTCATCGACTTTGTAGATAAGGGGTTCCATAATGAAACCCAAACACCTAATTGTGCGTAACTCCTGCAACAAGTAGTAGAAATTGTTGATCAAGAATAGGAACCTGAGTCTCTCATCTAGGAACGACGACGATGTCCAGAATGACGTGTTTGTTGTTGTGGAAGAGACCATCTCCACGATGAGGTTGGAGACATGGCTCACGTTTTCATTCTCAGGCACAAACTCACCACGGAGAACTGCATCATCTAGAATGCGATTCACCGAACCGTAATTTGCCCACAACACCTTGGTGTAGCTTACTATGGACTTCATGACCTTGTGAATGTCACTCGAAACGCGGTCGTTCGACCATTTCCAGGCCCAGGCCATGACAATATTCATGATCTCAACAATTGTAGCCCATATGGCCTCATCTAACTTGGTCAGGTCTGCCGACAAGAAATCTTCCATCGCACCGTCAGTAGATTCTACATGTAATGGCAGGATATGTTGGGAGGCCATGGAAAGAGCGTCATGCATGTCTATTAGTGCCTGGAGCTTCTCAGCTGGTGCCAGTGCCCCCGGCCTATCAGTAGTTTTTGCGGCAGCAGCAATGTCAACGAAAGGCAGCATCTTGAGCACAGTTGCTTGGACAAGTTCTGCAAATTCAGAAGGAGATGGCTGCTTTCTCGCTCCTTCATCCTGGTCCTGCCTCTGGCTCTGGCTCTGGCTGTACCATCCATCAAGGCTTGTCAGGATGGATTCACCGATCTTGCGTAGCGCTAGGATCCATGTCTCTACAAGAAATTGGAAGCCGTGCGAGGTAACGACGCTCCATGAAGATTCATGTGTTCCGGCGAGGTGGAGAACCCAGCCGACGTCCAGCTCCGACAGCCACGTCTGCACGGCGGTGCTATCATCGCCACTGAATTCCACGACCAGCCCCTTGATATGCTCGAGCTTCTTGGCCACGTCTTCCGCGAGCTCCTTGGCTACATACAGCTCCTCCGTGTTTTCTCCCACGACCGGCGCCGTGAACGGATGGAGATCACGAGGCCGCGGTTCTCCGCCTGAATCGGTGGTGGTGGTGGTGGTACTGGCGGTGTAGGTGGTACCTGAAGTGGTGCTGTCGCCACCGGTAGGCGGCAGCGAACCGCCTCCGTCGTCGGTGTCATGCCCGCCGCTGCCCCTCGGTCTCATCCATGCTCTCCTCCAGGGCCAGGCGGAGGCCACCGCCATGCGAGCGGCTCACACTGCTAGAACTGGAATGGAATCAATCAATCGATCTAGAGAGCGATGCAAATGAAATTTTATTTTATGCTTCAATCATCAATTCAATAATGAATCAACCTCAACAAAAGTCCACAAAGCGTGTGTCCAGTGTCCATGACGAGTCCACAAAGGTGTCCCTTGACTTTGACCTGTACCAGTGTAGCCGTGTAGGATGTAGCTGAAATTTCATGATATTTATGACGCGGTGTTGATAGTTGAAACTGACGGCCTGACCTCATCTAGATTTGGCCTAAATCAAACCTTTTCAAAACTTTAGCCATCAATACTTAAAATTCCTCAGCGAGCAATTCTCTTGTTTTTTATGTGGTTTGGTTTTCTCCTGCTAACAAAGTTCCTCAGCATTTCTGATCCCTTGATGAGTTTCAGAAAAAAAGACAAAATTATATATACCTTGAAAAGACAAGATTGTTTTAGATCACATAAAGTATTGATTATTTCGGCCCCTAGATGATTTCAAATGGAAAAAGTTTGAACCGCAAAGATTCAAATCACGCCAAACACTACAGCTTTGGTCAAAGTGTCTCTCCATGCAAGGTGGTTTGAAAATGTATTTCAAAGTCTGAGAACTTTAAATGTTTTTTTGGAAAAAGTCTACGTAATTCCCTGACCTTTGCTCATGTGTCTACTTTACCCTCGAACTATGAAACCATGTATTCGACACCGTAAACTTCTCTAAACTAGACATTTAACCCCTTCTAGTGGTTTTGGCTCCTGGTTTTGCCGACGTGATAGTCCAAACTAGCTCACATTGACATGTTGGCGCTCTGGCCCATGCGTCACAGAAAGGGGAGGTGATCCAGGCGCGCGAGCATGGTCGGTGCTGCTGCTCCGCCTGGGCCTTGTGCCCACCGTGGGCGTGTCCTCCGCGGCCGCTGCAGAGGAGGTGATGCGGCACCGTTGGTGGCAGTCACTGCGGCGGCGGTGGAAGTGCCCCTGGCCCTAGGCGTGCGAGACGAGATCCACCGAGATCTCCCGCTCCTTGCCGTGCACGACGACGCATGTCCAGTGGCCGCGACCGCCTTCCCCGTTGCGCATGGACACGTGCTCGCGGCCCGAGACGAGAACAGGGCAAGGTCTAGGTGGGCGGCGAGCCTTGGTCTTCCTGTAGGTCTCCTCCGCCATGTCCCCAGACGACCTCCATCTAACCGTCCACCACGACGGCGACGAAGTACCTAACGAGAGGTCTCTGGGAGCCCGAGGATGGGAAGCGCGCGCGGGAGAGGTCCTAGATTAGGTCCACGTGGCAGTCCCGCACGCGGAAGCGCTTGGACCCGCGCCGCCTCCACAGCAACCACGGTGACATGTGCATGGCCACCGTCGCCTTGTCCTCGTCATCGCCCTTGCCCATCGTACTCGACCTCGTCGTCGCCATAGTCGGACGCCGAGGGGGACGGCGCGGGGCCACGGAGCATGGAGCGGAGGCTGAGCCCAAGCGCGGCGCGCGACCACAACAGCGCAGCAAGGCCGAGGCGCATGTCATGGACGGACGTGACCAGGCTGGTCCCTGCCCCAGAGCCACCGGACCCTGACCCTGATGACACTATGGTTGAGCGTGAGTCGTCACAGGCACGCGGATCTATGGCGAAGGGGTTTGATAGCTGGGCCCACTGCCAACGAGTCTTGGGCTGCCAAATTGTAGTGCCACATAGGCAAAAACAACTGCCAAAACCACTCCAGGGGGTTAATTAAACAGTTTAGGAAACTTTAATATGCTTGTTAGATGGATTTGAAGTTCAGGGGGTGAAGTAGCCACAACGCTAAAGCTAAGGGGTTTATGTAGACTTTTTCCTATATTTTGTTTGACCCTTAAATGAAAAATATCACCTACAAATTTAATGTATAGTTTATCTTCATAGTACATGAGTTAAAGTTTTTTTATGTTGCAATTATTTTTAAAGGAGGTCCATATTGTCAGGAGCCTTTAGAAATCGACTTCTAAAGGGTGGATTTTGCAACCTACAAATAGAGTGCATTTCTAGATGCGCCTAAAAGAATCAACTGCTTCTAGAAATATATCAAAAAAACTATTTATAGAGATGATTCTTGATAGAGCCCCTCTTTGAAAAAAAAACGAGCATCGCTGATTTTTTTTATAGTAGTGATCTAAGAAAAAACGATCGTGCTTAATTTTTATTTATCTACTTAAAAATCACATGATTTTTAGAGGTCCCAAATTCTTTCATTTTGATCAGGAAAATGTTGAGAGGTTAAAGGAACAAATCTAACCAGCAATTAGGATGCCAATAAATCCTGTCGGCAAGTTATAGCCTTATAGGGCCAGCAGTCAACCGATACGCGCGATAGTCGATAGCTGACGTTGAGTCAGATTAATGTGTTTTGAGGCTTTAGTGATGAATCCTCGGAGTCTTTCAACTTTATACATTAGCAGTTTCACAAAGTTTGTTTGGTTACACAGGGTGGCTAGCGTCCGAACACCCGCACCCGCCTGGTGCGCCCGTCCCGCCTGCTGCGCCTGTCACGAAGTTTGCTTTGGCCAGTGACCATGGTCTCCAAACTTTTCCGGGTGACGAGTGACTGCGTCAACGCAGTAAGAAGCATCCATGGACAAGGTTATAGGACGCATGGCCCTATCATTCAGAAGATTAAGAGCAGGAAGGATGGATTCACGAGAGTGGATTTCGTCAAGAAGCTCCAATTTTGATGCTCATTGTTTAGCCAGGAGCTATGTTAATTTTTTTGGTAGGAAGATATGTTTGGTTTGTTTCGCCTCCTTATAGAGTTTGTACTTCTTATGCTGATATATAATGATGGCTGACTCTTTTGCTCAATAAAAAAACAAAGCTTGTTTGGTTATACGGGGTGGCTAGCGTCCAGACGTCGGGACACCCGCGCCCGCCTGCTGCGCTCGTCGTGTGTGCCACGTATGCTGCTAAGCCTGCCCCGCCTGCCCTGAATGCAACTGCTGCCCGCATGCAACTCTGTGCCTACACGTCCCGCATGCAACTGCTGCGCCTGCACACCCGTCCCTGCATGCTAGTGTGCGTACGCATGCAGTTGAACGTCTCGTGCCTGCTGATGCGTATGTAGGTGGGGACCGCATCTGCATGTGCCCGCTTCCTCTACGCCTGCTAATGTTGCAACCTGAAAGCACTTCTGCAACATACGTCTGAAACAGGTGAACATTTACAAGCATATGTTTGCAACATATGTGTATAGCAACTACAACATCCTTAAACACATTTGCAACATATGTTTGAAACTGATGAAAATTTTTGAATAGACTCTTGCAACATATGTCTGAAACATATGCAACATCCAAATGAAACACTTGCAACATAGGTCTAAAACAGGTGAAACATTTGGAACATACACTTGTGACATACATGTATAGCCAATGCAACATATGCAATATCGAGATAAAACATTTGCAACATATAGATGAAACATTTGAAACATACACTTGCAAGATACGTGTATAGCCATTGCAACATATGCAACACCAGATATACTTTTGCAACATCCAGCTAAAACATATGCAACATACATATGAAACGCATGAAACATACGGTTACAACATGTGCTCATCTACCTGCTGCCGCCCAATGGAGGCTAGTTGACGTGGCGCGTGGCGTGAGGCGCGAGACACAGACGATGCGAGGCACGGACAGGGTGCGTGGCACGAGGCGCACGCGGTGCAAGGCGGGTCTAGTGTGACCGTGCGAGGCGCAGGGTTTTTTTAGGAAAGTGCGAAGCGCGAGGTGCAGGGGCGCACGGCGTGAGGCGAAAGATGTAGGGGCGCGCAACGCGAGGCGGGTCCGTCCTGTCCGGCCGGCCGGACGTCCTGGTAGGAGCTTTATCATTTGTTATAAGATCCAGACCGCTTTGAATGGAAGAGGGATTGGTATTTCATTCCATGTCAGTATTGGTGGATGTTCTTAATTTTCTTATATATAATTAATCTAGTCAAATAAATTATTGTTGGCATAATTACCTTTGCCTAAACTTAATCATATCCCCAAATGTAGATATATCAAAATGTCAAAAATAGTGTCACAATTTACGAACATGGAGAAAGACTAGTTGATTAGACAAGTTGCATGGACCTCAGGCCATTCTAGACACATTTCACAATTTTACGACTTGATTCAGCATCTACCCGGTCCACAAATTAAAATGACTAGACAGCCGCTCATTTTTTTCATGAAGCAGAGACTTCTGCATAAGTTTCAGCTGTGCCAAACAAGGACCTAAAATCCTAAACCAAGCATAGCTTTAGACTTCTTCTTCACTTGCAGGTAAATATTACAGAGCATTGCAATTTACAAGCTGACATTGTTTTGGTACAGTCCTTCCATGTGGATTGCAAATTACACTACTCCAGGGAATGGTTGCTCCACATTCGACACGAAAATAGGAACAAACTACACATTAGCGGCGGTAGTAGCAAGTACAGGGGCTAATTGCCAAAATAAGAATGAGCAAGAATCCTACTCCTGTCTAACTGCAGTTTTTGCATATAGAGAGCGACATCTGCATTAATTGGACTTAATACCTCAACTACAAATTTGACGAAGTTACAGGTAACAGCGGCCAAAACAGACTTATTACTTGTAGTACTTCACCTTAACTGTAGTCGATAGCTCGATCCATAAGTCAAGTCGTTTGAAGATCATTTCTCATTTAAAACCAGAATGAAACGATGAACATAGATGAAAGCAATACTAACTGAATGTTGGTAACTTGTGGTGCACCGGTTATTTATCCTTCAAATAACTCGTCCAACATCTCCTGCAAACTCTCGGGACTGACGATGACTCTTGAAGCGCTGATGCCACCATCCTCCAAGAACTTTGTGAAGGCTGAAATGACTTTGTCAACGATGGCTGTCCGCAGCACTTTCCTCAGCTCTGGGTCTGGAACCTTCCAGAGTTTCTGCGCAGTGTAGGTCTTCTCAAACTCCGACAAGAACTTACGCTAAGCTGAGTATCTCGTGAAGAAAAAGCAACAAGATGAATGACTGTGCAAGGGCTTCAACACCGGCGTCCAGGATACTTGCAGGTAACTGTTTATGTAACTGTCAATCTTGCGAGCCAGGGCATCCGTTGGGACATCCGAAAGCAGATTTTCAGCCTGTTCGCTGGTTGGTTTCTAGGCTGATAAGCCCGGCTGACGTTGGTTTGCTGTGAAAGAAAAACACTGTACCATAGCTGATAAGGCCTGCCTGAAACCAATAAGCGAACAGGCTGTTTGAGATAGCAGTTGGTGCCACAGGAAGTAGAAATTGTTGGCCAGGAATAGGAACCTGAGGCTCTGATCCGCGAATAACTGCGATACCCTGGTGAGGCTTTCTTCTAGGGAACGGATGATCACGATGTTCAGGTTGGTGGAAGAACCGGTACTATTCTAACCGAGAGACAGACATACTTCATGTGCAATAGGAGTATCCATTGAAGATCGGTTGTAGCTTAAACTACTAGATAGCACAAGGATGTAGCTTACTGCGAACTGAGTGGCAACATGAATGTCAGGTGATGGATGCAGTCCTGACGCTGTATGGTCATGGCCATGGCCGTCCGTCGTCAAGGACATGAAGTATGTCCTGATGCAGTCTCTCGTGTTCCTCATGGCCTCGTCCACCTTGTCCAGCTTCGCCAACAGCAGCCTTATCATCTCCGCGCTTATCCTCGCAGCTTCTGCGTCGGTTGATGACGAACAGGAGGAACTGAGACACGAGTGCCAGAGCTGGACCTGTTCCGAGACCCCAGAGAGAGCGTCACTGACATCTATCAGTGTCCTGAACTTGTGAGCTGATGCCACTGCACCCTTCTTGCCAGAAACGACACCACCATGGCCATGGTCGTCGCTGCTAATGCTACTGCTAGCTGGGCTAATGACGTCGTCGAGTGCAACGACGGCGTCGACGAAAGGGAGCACGAGCAAGAAGGTTGCAGCGACAAATCCTACCAATTCTGAAGTAGGTGACCAGAGCAGAGCTTCTTCCTCCTGCTGCAGCTCCTGGCTACTACACCATCCAGTAAAGCTAGCGACGGACCTGCTGATGGCGTGGAGAGCGAGTACCCAGCTGCGTGCGGTGTGCAGGAGTCGCCGCGACACGAAGGTCCTCCCCGCGGACGCGGCGTCCAGCTGGGCGAGGCGGAGGACCCAGCTCCGACCGGGCGGCGCGCTGCGTCTACGGCCGCACGGTGCTGGGGGGCGGCACGGCGGGACGCACGGCGGAGACAGGGGTAATTATTGGTTTATCCTGTAATTTACAAGATCATATCAAGGAAGCACTAATGTATCTGAATACTCTTCTGACAATGGTATAGCTTAAAAATGTACAGCTGACTGCATTTTAGAAAACAATGAGATGCCAGCATAGCAAAGGAACTGCTTCTTACAACGCTGAGCGGCGACACGGCAGGGCGGGACGCTGGAGAAGGCCAGCCGAGCACGTCCGACCGGGCGGCGCGCTGCCTCTGTGACCGGGCGGCGCTGGGGGGAGGAACGGCGGGAGAGGTGTCGGAAGGGAGGTGCCGGCGATGGAGGGAAGACGGCGCCGCTTCCCCCGCTGACCACGCGCTCCAGGTGAAACGGCGTCGGAAGGGAGGTGCCGGCGATGGAGGGAAGGCGGCGCCGCTTCCCCCATTGACCACGCCCTCCAGGTGAAGCCGAGCGGACGCCGGACTGAAGAAGGGCGACGGCGAGCTCGGCTCCAGGCGAAACTGAGCGGACACCGGACGGGCGAAGGGCGACGGCGAGCTACTCGTGCAGCGAGAGCTGCGGCGACCTGGGGTGTGCGAGCTGCGGAGGCGCGGGTTGTGCGATCTGGGGCGTGCGGGAGCTTCGGAGGCCGCTGAAACCAACTCGGGTGCGAGATTAGAACGGGGGAAGCGGCGCGCGAGATCGACCTGGTTGGTTCGGTCGGATACAATTAATTGGGTTCGGGTACTGATTATTATTCTATATCCAGGGTAATACATAGAATGAATATATATATATATATATATATATATATATATATATATATATATATATATATATATATATATATAATAAGCCTCAAGAGCCCATAATGACCCATTCACCTTAGGGTCCTTCAAACTACAGAGCCCCCTGAATGTCCCTTTCAACATTTGCAAACATAGTATCATCTCACCTATTGTACTGCCTAGTGTACAATACTAGACTAGGGGTATGCTGCCCCACGCGTTTGACCAGCTCAAGATGTTTCTTTCATGCAACCAAACAGAGTAGAACAGAGCAAAATAGAGTAACACTTTTTTTCAGAATCCAATCTTATCATCTTGTTGCAGAGTCACATGCAAGCATATGCGTTAGCTTGGCACATTTGGCAAATACTAATACTATCTTATTGCTATGATCATTGTATCACATGCAGTAATCACCTTTTTTTCAGAATCTAGTCGTCTGAAGCAACAACTTTGTTCCAAAACCAAACACTTAAACTCGGAACACTCAAAGTATACATAAACGATTGCGCACCTGTGGCAACTTGGGTCTCTTTCTTTGGCTCTTTGCCTAGTTGTTCACCCTTCGAACAGCTCCTGCAACATGTCCCTGAGATCATGGGGAGTGATTCTTGAGGGGCTGATACCACTGTACTCCAAGTATTTTTCAAAGCTTGGAATGACTTTGTCAATAACAGCCACCCGGAGCCTTCTCCTCAGCTTAGGGTCTGGGACCTTCCAGAACTTCTGGGCATTGTAGGTTTTCTGAAACTCAGACTCAAATTTAGCTGGAGAGGAGTACCTTCCCATGCAAAGCGGCGTAGAATTGTACAGGCACGACAACACCGGTGCCCAAGACACCTGCAAATATGTTTCGATGTAGTTTTCGATCTTGCGAGCGAGGCCTGCCATGTGGGATTCCATCACCAAAGTTGGGGAAAGCTGCTCCCACATGAAGTATGAGTTGTTGGTCAAGAACAGGAACCTCAAGCTCTGATCAGCAAATGATCGTGATTCCTCAGCAAGTTTTTTCTCTAGGCATAGCACCGTCTCCATCACAAGGCTGGTCAAAGGGCTCACCTTGTCAAAACTAGGCACATAACCACGGAGCTGAGCTGCTTCCTTGACGAGTTGATGCGCTGTTGCCCAATTGGTGGACAGCAAGACGATGTAGCTCACCATGGCACGGGTGAGCTCATGGATGTCCGATGATGATCCTTGTGGAGTTTGAACACCCCGCCACGAGCCATCGTCGTCCTCGGTGAGACGAGTCCTGGAGGTCTCCTCCATCATGTTCCATATTGCCTCATCTAGCTCGCCTTGTTTGTATGACAGGAGGCTGGCCATCTCATCCGTTGGTGTCGAGAGGGAGGTCGCGGTACCGGTGGTGGTGCTGGTACTGCTACTGTAATCTACCAGATCAGTTCGTAGCCAATTCGGCTTCCAAACAGGCTGCAGCGAACCATGGCCGCCGACGGACGTGTCCATTCTCTCTGCTGCCTGTTTAGGAATCTACCTGCATGAACTTGACTGGGTCTGGGTGTGTCGTGTGTGTGCGCCTTGAGCCTGTGTGGAGAAGCCTGCTACACGATGACACTGACGAGATCACTCAATTCGCGTGCCGTTACAAACACGCTGCTCAGTACTGGCTGTCACGGCTTCACTTTCACCTGCGTGGCTACGTCCTCTGGAAACCTTGCCATTTAGGCGCTGTCCGGCACTTGGCAGGCAGGTTAAGGCCCGTGAGACCTGATGGGTTTTCTGTCCTATACAACAGCATGGCGATCGGCCCACGACTGCGGTTTGAGGCCTCGATCACAAGGCCGTGATGTGATGGGCCCTCGGAGTCTTTTAACTTTATACCTTAGCAGTTTCACACAGTTGATTGGTTATGAGATCCAGACTGCTTTTAATGAAAGATGGATTAATATTTGATTCCAAGTCAGTATCGGTGGATGTTCTTAATTTTCTTAAAATTTATCAATCCAATCAAATAATTATTATTGGCATAACTACCATGGCAAAAAGTTACTCTTATCCCCAAATGTAGATATATATCATATATCAAAATGTCAACAAAAAAAACATGGAAAAACACTAGTTGACTACACAAGTTACATAGCCCTCGGGCCATTTTAGACACATTTCTCAATTTATTTACCACATGGTTCAGCATCTAACCAGTCCATAAATTCAAACGGCTAGACAGCCATTCAGCTTTTTCATACAGCAGACTAGCAGAGCCGCCAGCCATAAGTTACATACCCCCTCTGCATAAGTTTCAGCTGTGCCAAACAAGGGCCTAAGATCCCAAATCTAGCACAGCTTTAGTCTTCTTCTTCACTTGCAACTAAATACCACAGTGCATTACCAAAGGCTATGAAGTTGGCACTGTTTTGGCCTAGTCCTTCCATGAGGATTGTAAATTATATTACTCCAGTCCAGGAAGTGCTTGGTCCACATTCAGCAAGAAAACATGAACATACACATTTTTTTTTTGAGAAACATGAACATACACATTAGCAGCGGTAGTAGCGAGTACAGGGGCTAATTGCCAAAATAAGAATCCTACTCTTGTCTTACTGCAGTTTTTGCATATAGAGAGCGAGATCTGCACTATATTGAACTGAATACCTCAACTACAAATTTGACGAAGTTACATCAGCCAAAACCGACTTATTACTTGTAGTGCTTTCAACTTTTAGTCGTTAGCTCCATCCATAAGTCAAGTCGTTTGAAGATCATTTCTCATTTAAAACCACAAAGAAACGATGGACATAGATGGAAGCAATACTAACTGAATGTTGGTAACTTGTGGTGCACCGGTTATTTATCCTTCAAATAACTCTTCCAACATCTCCTGCAAGCTCTCAGGACTGACGATGACTCTTGAAGCGCTGACGCCACCATCCTCCAAGAACTTTGTGAAGACTGAAATGACTTTGTCAACGATGGTTGTCCGCAACACTTTCCTTAGCTCTGGGTCTGGAACCTTCCAGAGTTTCTGCGCAAGGTAGGTCTTCTCAAACTCTGCCAAGAACCTATGCTGTGCTGAGTATCTCATGAAGAAAAAGCAACAGGGTGAATGACTATGCAAGGGCTTCAACACCGGCGTCCAGGATACTTGCAGATAACTGTTTATGTAACTGTCAAGCTTGCGAGCCAGGGCATCCGTTGGGACATCCAAAAGCAGATTTTGAGAAAGCAGTTTGTGCCACAGGAAGTAGAAATTGTTGGCTAGGAATAGGAACCTGAGGCTCTGATCCGCCAATGACTGCGACACTCTGGTGAGGCATTCTTCTAGGGAACGGATGATCACGATGTTCAGGTTGGTGGAAGAACCGGTACTATTCTCACCGAGAGACAGACACGCTTCATGTGCAATAGGAGTATCCACTGAAGATCGGTTGTAGCTTAAACTAGTAGATAGCACAAGGATGTAGCATACTGCGAACTGAGTGGCAACATGAATGTCAGGTGATGGATGCAGTCCTGACGCTGTATGGTCATGGCCATGGCCGTCCGTCGTCAAGGACATGAAGTGTGTCCTGATGCAGTCTCTCGTGTTCCTCATGGCCTCGTCCACCTTGTCCAGCTTCGCCAACAGCAGCCTTATCATCTCCGCGCTTATCCTCGCAGCTTCTGCGTCGGTTGATGACGAACAGGAGGAACTGAGACACGAGTGCCAGAGCTGGACCTGTTCCGAGACCCCAGAGAGAGCGTCACGGACATCTATCAGTGTCCTGAACTTGTGAGCTGATGCCACTGCACCCTTCTTGCCAGAAACGACACCACCACGGCCATGGTCGTCGCTGCTAATGCTACTGCTAGCAGGGCTAATGACGTCGTCGAGTGCAACGATGGCGTCGACCAAAGGGAGCATGAGCAAGAAGGTTGCATCCACAAATCCTACCAATTCTGAAGTAGGTGGCCAGAGCAGAGCTTCTTCCTCCTGCTGCAGCTCCTGGCTACTACACCATCCAGTAAAGCTAACGACGGACCTGCTGATGGCGTGGAGGGCGAGGACCCAGCTGCGTGCGGTGTGCTGGAGTCGCCGCGACACGAAGGTGCTCCCCGCGGACGCGGCGTCCAGCTGGGCGAGGCGGAGGGCCCAGCTCACCTGCAGCTCCGACAGCCACCTGTGACCTGCCCAGTGCGCTGCTGCTGCTGGACGTAGCCGCCGCTCCACATCCAACATGAGATCCATGGATGATGAGATCCCTGATGTGCTCCCGCATCGCCGCCTTCTCTTCCTCCGTGACGCCCCCGGCAGTGCTGGTGAATGGGAACGGAAGGGACGCGGCGGTGCTGGTGGCGTAGGTGGTGGCAGTGTTGGACAGGGTGGTACCTGAAGCGGTGCTGCTGGCTCCACAGTTGACGTCGTAACTGTGATCAAGCGGAGCAGGTTGCGGTGGTGGATGCACAGGATCGTCGTCGTCGCCGCCGCCGCCGCCTCGGTTGGTGGATGCGACCGTCCACCTCCATGCTCCCCGCCACACAGCCGCCATGCTGCCGGCACGGTGAGCTTGCTAGCTAGTTGCAAACTCAAACTCATGCGCACCGGGCCCGCCCGGCCGGAGCCCATATATAGCTGCAAGCCTGCAACGGCAAGCATTAGAGGGTCATGTACTCTGAAACATCACCAACGCGTTACCTTTTTTGACTTTGACCTGCGGGGCCCGCGGCTGTGGGCGTCTTTGGAACAGCGACGCGTTGATGATGACTGGAGTGTGTTGAGTGTTGACTGACACTGCTGGCAGTTTGGCACCGACAAAACCTGAGTACCTCACACCGTCGCCTGAACGAAATTGCATCGATAATGCTTAGGAGCGGGCAGGGACGCCGCTTTCTGGGCCTGCCTAGCCCAGCAGGTCTATCTCTTTCAAAATATCTGCTACGCCCGGGCTCGCCCACCGTATGCGTTGTGCATACTCTCGCTGCTCGGCTGCTGCCGTCTTTCCCACCGTGCACCGCGCGGCTCCCCATCCAGCACCACGCTCCATCCCACGCCGCGCTGTGCTCCATCCCTCGCCGCGCCCGCTCTAGCTCGCTGTACATCACGTCTCCGCTCCAGCTCGCTGTGCGCCACGCGCCCCGCTGCTGCGCGCCGTGTCCCGTCCCCCACACGAGCCTAGGTGCTGCTGGGTTGCTGCTGAGCTGCCGCCACAGCCCGCGTTCCCCACCAAAAGGTCGTGGCCACTGTCGACGCCGTGGCCGCCGTGACGCACAACCTCAATAAGGAGATATTGCGATAAAAGCGCATGTTGTAAGTGTATGTTTCAAGTGTTTAAGATATTTTAGAGGCATGTTGCAACTGTTTCATATGGATGTTGTAAAAATAGATCGGGGATGTTGCACATGTAGCAAGTGTTTCAGAGGTGTTGTTCAAAATGTTTTATCTGTTCCAAACGTATGTTGTAAGCGTTCCGATCTAGATGTTGCATATTTCACACATATGTAGCAACAATATGTTCCAAATGTTCAGCTGTTTCAGTCTAATGATGTAGTAAGTATTTTCATGTTGCAAGTTATAAATGTTTTTATTTGATGTTGCATGTTTCACACATATATTGCAAGTGTATGTCCTAAATATTTCATCCTTTTTATATGGATGTTGTATTTAAGTGTTTCATGTTGCATGTGTTTTATATTGTTCGGAGAGTAAAGGAAGCGGGGGAGTGATGGTGGCACGGCACAAGGGCTGAGTAATGATGGGGCGCGGCGAGCTAGGGCCAGCGGATGTTGCGCATGGCGCGCCAGTGTCCTGCGAACGGAGGGCACCGGGGGCAGCCGGTCAGGGCACGACGGGGCGGGGCGTGTGCAGGATGGGGCGAAGGGCGGGCTGCGCATGCGAGACGATTAGTGTGGACTAGCATGTAGGCATGTACCAATTGACAATTGTTAAATCCTAGACTGCATGCATGCCTGAAGTACTGTACGTGAGCGCGAGGCCGCTTCCACTTCCACACGCGCATACAAAAATACAATACGAGTAGTCAAGCATGCATGCATGTGATTTTGCATCGGCCTGCATGCTACAGATTAGTGTGTAACACGGTGTAAAACGTGCGCAGTTTTTGCTCCGGAAATCTGATAACTCCAACGGCACGCTGTCCAAGTCTCCCCATGCACCAAGCAAAGTTGGCTACACTGCTGTTACTGTATATCTCTTCCTTTCCTCTTGACTCCCTCAAAAAAATCAAGAAAGGCTAGCTCTCGGGCACAACTGTGAGTAGCTCAAGCTGAAGGAAGGCCAATATTTATAGGCAAAAAAACAAGCCTCGAAGCCTAAGGGCCACCACCAACAATAGATGCCTACGAAAAGGTCAGGATAAACAAGATCTTCATAAGGGCAGGACCAATACAGCGTCGACAAGACCGCTCGGTCCCGCCTGGGTCGTGAACCCCGACAAACGGCACACTGACACAGGCGAGGCTCGGCAGTCACGTACCACATCGTTAGGACGTCCCGGGTGAAGTAAAGCACAACGACCACAAGCCCACGCTCCGAATGAACACGCATATCAGCGCTTTCCCGATCACTTCGTGATCGCAAAAACGCTCGGGGGCTACTGTCGGGGTCATGACCCCGGGGTGTCTTAGGGCACCGATTAGTTAGCGGGCTGCATGGTCCGCAACACAGCAGCTAGCAAAGACCCAAACAACCGAGGCCCAGCAAAAGCGGAGCAAAGCAGGCTAGGCGCTAAGGCCGGGGCCGATCATGATCCCTTCCTCCAACATTGGCCGTGTGATGCTCAAATACGCGACCTCTTCCCTGTCATGACCCCTGAGAGAGACAGGGAGAGGTCGAGCCCCGCGCGATGTGCCCATTTTGACGAAGGAAAAGACGCCTCGCTGACCCCGCAAAGACCGATGTGACAGCGGTCACCTCGGTCCGATCAGACGCCATCTCTGTGCCACGCCGCACCAACGAGACAACACCGCACAAGAGGTGGCAGCGGGTACAAAACCCACCGTCCGAATATGGATCGACAGGATGCGCGTACGATCCCACCCACTATGGGATGGGATCCATGACAAGTGTTATGACCTAGAGACCTCCCCAACAGGCGGAGCACCTCGACCCCAACGATCGGGGTCGTGGCCCTCAGCCCCACGAAGCGACCAGGCGAACAACGACCTAGGGCGGCTACGTACTATAAGGGTATGACGCCTCGGGGAACCTGAAGACAACGGCGAAGACCATGATGGATGCCACGTTGCACAACATAGCTAATGAACTGTCACCATGGTTATAGTGCTACCACGACTAGAACAGTAGCACCACGTCAGACCCTGCCGTGACGTGGCCACAAGACCATGACGATAGCCATGCCCGGGCGAGCATTAGAAGATGGCGTAGCTTGCAAGCTAAGTTAGCTAGGACCTTCCTTAGACTCTCAACCCTTCGGTCGGGGGAACCTCCTCTTAGTAAGAAGCCCTGGCCCCGAACTCTATATAAGGGCAGCCAGGGCTCCCATATGTGGGGGGCTCATTCTTCATCCTCTACCATTCCATTCATTCACCATAGCAGTAGGGCTCCTAGAGCTTCTCTTCAGGCTGCCCCTTGTCTAGCATAGGTTCTACCACCTCTTTCACCATTCTTGCACCCCCATTGTAAGAACTTTAGAGCATTCAAGCGAGAAACACGCACTCGACCTTCTCTAAGACTGGACGTAGGGCTCCGGCCTAAACCAGTATAAATCATCATGTCTATTGGATGCTACCATCGTCTTCCTAGAGCAGTACGACAATCGTATAAATTTACTAGTTCGGTTTATGAAACACCGACAGTTGATGCCCAAGGTAGGGGACAGTCGCACACTCTCATTTGATTGAAGAAGGAAGCGATGGCTCCTCACACCGCTGGTGGACTCGCTGGTGGAATGGCCCTGGCGATCACATCCACCATGAAAACTATGGGTTCATCGGCACCAAAGGGCCAACGCCCACGTCCGCCATCAATCACAGTCTAGACCTCCACCTTTGAAATCTGAGTTCTGTGGCCCACGGCGAACACACTCCTAGAACTACCCTCGGGGGCTGCATCCTAGAGTTCACCTACCCAGAGGGGCTAGTACCCTCGCTCGTCGCAAGCCGTGGCCAAGTTTCCTTCTAGGGAACCAAAAGACCATGGCTCACGATGAACTCGCCCAAGGAATATCCTCGACCAGCCACATCCTTCTAGGGAACCACATGGTTAACCACACCAAAGGGCCGGCGCCCGTGTTTGCCCCTGGCCATGGCCAAGAAATCCACCTCGGGAATCTAGGTCCCGCGGCCTATGGCGGGCGCACTCTCAGAACTGCCCACAGGGGCTGCATCCTAGAGTTCACCTACGTAGGGAGCCCAGGGCCCTCTCTCATCACTGGCCACGACCAGGCCTTCCACCTAGAAAGCCAGCTGGTCGTGGCTCGTGGTGACTTCACTCGAGGAATGGCCCGCGGTGGCCACATCCCCGCCGAGAACCATGAGATCACCCGAACTGACAGGGTAACACCCGTCACTAGCTCTTACCCGGTCCAGGCCTGCCGCATGGCAGAACTAGACCTCATGGTAGAAACGCGCCCCAGACAGTGCCTCTGACTTCATAGCGTAATGACTCAGGGCGTGCATGAACAATGAGGCTACCAGCCGCCACGCGGCATCGACATTGGTAACCTAGTCGCTAGATGGCACCGCACCGCGCAGGATCGAACTTGAAACCAAGATCCAACCCTACACAATGAGCAAGCTGCGCGACACACTTCGGAGGACTACCAGTCTACGCTCGGAGGCACATGCATCCGAGGAAGCAGGCACCCCGAGCGCACCGCACGTCGCGACAAGCGATTCAAACCATGTTGCGCTCAAAGCTAGATCCCACAGCGATAGGTCACGACGGTCCCTCACCAGAAGTGGCAGCTTTAGCCGAAAGCATAGGCACGGCAACCGCGATATTGTCGTGTCAAGAAGACTCAAGCGCCAGAATGCGTGAGCTCTCCCTGCCAAGAACCACTGCTTGTCGGGAGCAAAGAAGCCACCCTCGGGGGCACACAGGCTCCTCGAGGGCATCGAGTCGGCAAGGATCAGCCCAAGGCAACCCGAGAGGCTGACCCACGCTAGCTACGACCGCCCCAAGTGGCGAAGAAGTGTCTCCACCAGCTCATGGCCCAAGGACTACGACAACTCCGTCACAAGCAAGCGCTCGGGGGGGTGCTCGGGGACTCAAAGTGCCCCGAGCTATGACGATCAGCTCATCAGCAACTTCTGGTCCATTGGTCGGTCGCGTCTATTTTGACCTTATCCTCACCGCCTAAGCACGTCCACATACACATATAAGCTCACCAATAGTCTTAGAAGCTTAAGGCCAACCCGTAGAGAAACCAGATAACATGATGCCCACAGGGTATGTCCTAGTAGCACGCCACTCCCGAGTGACTCAATCCAGTTCGCGCTCGTAGCCAGACACGGCTCACTCGCGGGGGCTACACTCATAGACATACAAACACACGACCCACGGTGCGGCACTATTTGCCATCATCCCGGTGACCGAGCTGCCCGCTCATTCTCTTTTCGCATCAAGCCAGATCTACGACCTACCCT